TTTGCAGTTGGGTTATCAGTTTACGTTTTTTATAATCACAGCAATCTTCAGGTTTGATAAAGTTACTGACTTTGCTGGTAAGATTACTACTACTGTTATATTCATAAGCTTATCTTTTTGTTTTGTTGAATTTTCCTTTTCTATAATCTTGAAATTCAACCTTATCCACTAAAAAATGAACGAAAGAAAAAAAAAGATTTTATTTTGGATTCAGGAAAGTGGATTAAGACCGAGTTAACACTTCAATTGCTTGTTAAAAATGTGGTTTTATTCTTGTAAAACTTTGTGTTGTTGGTATGCTTTGTTGGTTCTTGTTTTCTCCTTTGTTTTGGTTGAGGGAAGGTAAGTCATAGCTGCTCTTTTAACGACAATCACAATGTTTTTAATTTTACATTAAGCCTAACAAGCGACCGGCTTATGTTTGAGCACGATGAATTACTTCCTGCCAACCTGTTGCCAATCCACTTTTCGGCCTCATATGAGAATGGAAAACTTGAGCAGTTTTTCCATTGATGGATGAAGAATCGCAGACATAATGATATCTGATTGACTATGTTCCCTGAAATTCATTTTTATAGAGGATGTGCTGTATGATCTCTTGTTTATAAAAATCGTTGTTCAATTACTGGAACAGTGTGGCACAATCTTTTTTTTTTTTATTTGACATTCTTTCTTGTGATCAATCAATTCTTTTAGACTCTGCTTCGAAGATACTACTTAAACTCTACATCAATATGCAATTTCTTGTTTGTTCTCGTCATTGTTTAACCTTTTATAATCATATTCTTGCTTAATGTGACATTCAGTGCTGCTTTGTGGTACATATACCTAGACATTAGCTTACTGGTGCTTATATACCAATGATTGGACTAATTCAGACTAGATATTCCTCTTATCTAGGACATGTTTAGGTTTGCACTCCACAAGATACGTCCTTAAACCTTGGGATGTTCAATTTTGGCCTTGCCTTAGATTCATGACAAGGTTATCATAATTGGGGATAGATTCTAGATACGTATGATAAATGAATCGTGTTACTTTACATCTGTTAACTATCCATTCATCGTGGTAGTACTTGACGTGGAAAAGCTTGCTATGAATACCAATCACTCTGACTTAAATTTTTTTTTTACTTATAGTGTCCGGGTTTGATGGGATACTTTCTTACTAGTTTTCTGTCAATCTTTTTCGTTACAGGAGGTACAAACTTCATTATACTTGCTATTTTGACCTTGGTGCTAAAGGGTTCATGGCACTTTCGACAGGTAAGATTTTGCACCAATCTCTGATTTGGCTATCATTTAGAAGTTTGGTTATCTTTGTTAAAATTACTTTAGAAAGTTTTTGTTAATCTCAACAAGGGCTTTGCTAGTAGTCAACTTTCCTCCAGTGCCCTCCTCCCCAAACTCGTTCCCTCTCTCCTAATGCCCATGTACATTTATCAGTTCCCGGGGACTTTGCTGTAACTCTGTAACAACCACTTCCATTTTGTTAAATGGGACTCATGCATTTACTGTAAATTGAAAATGGACAGTATTAGCTGTAGAATTTAGGGTATTGTACTACAGAAATTAATTTTTGAGTTGTTTTTTTATATCTCGCACCTCGTGGAATGATTTTATGTTCATTAATCTGCATTTGCTCGAAAATGTTATTGAAAGTGCTCAGGGAAATTGTTTGATAGCATTTTATTCTGTTTGATCATTCTGTCTTTCAGGTGTTGTTGTCTCTATTTGTAGTGATATGGGGCCTTCGGTTGGGGCTATTCTTATTAATGAGGTAAGATCAGCTGTAATTAACTATTAAACTGTGTATATTATTTTCTTCTATCGCTTATTGTCATCCTTTGCAAAGATTTGATCGAAAGGGGATGATGTGTCATCCTTCACATGGTTGATATAGTCATATCAAAAGCTATATTCAACTTCTTTAAACGGATGTTGCAGAAATTAGACTTACATTAGCTTTATCTTTAACCTTATTCTCATCAGGATATTACAGTGGGGGGAGGACAGACGTTTTGATGACAAACGTGACAATCTTGGAAAACTGGCTATATTTTGGATACTTCAGGTTTTGTGTCCTTCTATCCAACCATCTCGTAAATTGTCTTGCTTTATATTGGTTTTACGCTTTCAGCAGAAATAGATACTTCAGTTTTGTGGATGACAACTTTTCTTCATGCAGGCAACAGGAGAATGAATAATCTTGCTTTGTGAATGACAACTTAATTTTAATCGCAGGCAATCTGGGTATGGACTGTTAGTTTACCAGTGACAGTTGTTAATGCAAGTGACAAGCAGCCTTCTGTTCAGGCTCAAGATATCATTGGTTGGGTTATGTGGATTATTGGGATTTTGGTTGAGATTACAGCTGACCAACAAAAATTGGCATTCAAAAACTCCCCGGAAAACAGAGGAAAGTGGTGCAGTGATGGCCTTTGGAAATATTCTCGCCATCCAAACTATTTTGGTGAGGTTAGTCCTTTTAAATGTCTCTTCTTTTGTGTTGTAGTTTGTGGAAGTTGTTGTGAGTTTCGATGTCGTAAGATTCAACCTGATGGAGCTACTGACGAGTTGCTTGTTCCGCAAGAACAAATATCTCATGCCTGCACAAACAATATTATGACCTCTAGGAGGTTTTAACTTAGTTATCTTCTAGCAAGATACTTTATCCAGACTAAAAAGATGGTAACAACTTTTTGTTTGTCCATCCCTAAGTGTAAAGTGTCAATTTCCTTCTATGAGATCCTTTTTCCCTTCGCTATTCATTGTCTTTAAGATTTTGGATGACTTCAAAAGTTATATGGGACACACTCCTGCAAAGATAAAATTTGTAACTTGTATATAGTAAGTTTTTGCTCTATATATAATTCACCGCTCTCTTCAGTGCTCTACTTTTAGTTTTTCTCATAATAACTGAACCCAACCAATGTAGGACTATAAAGTTGGTCTATGAGAGCAATACTAAGAGTTCATGCAAAAAATGGTGTCCTTTTGTGGAAGTCACAGGGTCCATGTTACATACACTTGATTATCATTTAGTTTTGTTTTATGAATAGCATTTAAAGATAGTAAGATACACTGAAAGCTGGGGATCTTTGGCTTTACGCCATTTCAGGGATATGCAGTGCAGATACCTAACATATGTGGACAGCTAGATACTGCATTTAGAATCTTGTGACTTGTAATGAATGACACATAGAGCTTTTTTTTATGAATTATGAATCAATGGTGATGCTGTTGATTGTAAAAAATATATTCATCTGGGAGTATTTTTCGCCCTAGGCACATTATACCTCTCATAACAAAATCCACCTTGGGGGAGTCAAGAATGCAAGCCTAGCATAAGAAATACCCAACATCATTGAACTTTGTCCCCTTAACCTGTAACAGAAAGAAAAAGCAGTATTTTTGATTGATAAGTTAACCGAGCTAATGTGAATGGATGGCATATTTTTAGTACATAAAGAGTTTCCTTGTGCTAAGCCTATGTTGTGTGACCCATGCTACTGTGTATGATATCTTAGTTGAGTGTCTGTTTGGACTTGGAACCTGTACATGGTAGAGAGATAAAGGACAAAGGGAAGACAAAGATGCAAAGAAACAAGAGGGAAATAAGTCAAGATTAGGTGGACAGAGAGAATGTCAACTCAGAAAGATGCCCCAGAGTTGATTCTGGAGCATCTTGATAAATTTGAATTTCTTCCTCCTGAGATCTAAGTGCACAGAATTCCTAGTTCTTTTATAAGCAAGGGCTGGGAAGTATAAATTTTGACGCCCTTTGTTACAAACAGTTGAGGTGGCCAAGGTCAGAAGAGTTGATTTCCCAATTTAAGGCTATGAACATAATGTTTTTTAATTCAACTGAAAGACTATATGTTACTGAAAACCGCATGAAGTTGCAATATTACAATCTTCTTTTCATCTTTAAATGGACTAGATTAACCTTTTCTACTGCTCTTCAGATTTTACTTTGGTGGGGAATTTTCCTGGCTTCCACACCGGTGCTAGAGGGTGCTGAATGGCTGGTTGTGTTTGGACCAGTCTTCATAACCTTGCTGCTCCTTTTTGTTAGTGGCATACCCTTGCTTGAGGTTCGATCGTTCCTCTGTCTTGCTACATTTGCCTCTAAGCATGAACTTATACTCTTACGTGCTAATTAAACAGGCATCAGGAGACAAGAAGTTTGGAAATGTTGGTGCATACAGATCATATAAGAGAAAAACTAGGTTGGTTTATAGTTTTTCAGTTTTATTTTCCTCTGATTTAAGCGTAAAATGAATATGATACTTGTTTCAGCCCTCTTATTCTGCTGCCTCCTGGTGTGTATGGGAGTCTTCCTCAATGGTTCAAAACCATACTCCTTTTTGAGTTTCCTTTTTACAGTCGCAATCTTCCGCAAGAAGAGTTAAGCTGGTAAAACCTAAATCCTTTGCTCAAAGTTTCTCCTTCACAATTTTTGTTTCAATTATATCTTTGGTTGATAAGAAATTTCTGTTGTTTGCAAGGAATAGACAAACCCAGCAAGGAAGCAGTAGAACAGACCCGAAGATGAGTTGACAGCTTAATTTTTGGGATTCCTTACTAGTCCAAGTAATTAACTTCCACCAACTTTTGTAATCACTTTACCATTATAACAACGTTCTTTCGTCAATACTAAAATAATATTTTTTTCACTTGATTAAAAAGAGAATGCTCCACTTGTCATATGGTGGGGTTTAATTTGAATCACCTTCTTCAGAAAATCGTATTATATATATGATTAATTTTTCATGTGTATATCTATAAGAAAACAAAAAATTAGAGTCGATTAAAATTTTGTAGCTAAATAATAGTAATTTTATACTAATCGCATTTAACTATATGGATTGACAATGAATTATATGAAAAATCAATTAGCTAAGAGTTATTTAACGTCGGATTAGCTAGAAATAAATTACCAATAAACTTCATATAACTAATTCTATATTTTGTACTAGTATCTATAAGTTCACAAAAAAAAGAAAATAGATTAGCTAACAAGATCCAATATAACACGAAGTAAAGCAACAACCAAAAGTAATTAAAGTATGATTTTCTTTTCTCTCCAAAACTATTATCAAAAGCAATTACAAACAATTAGTAAATTCAGTAACAACAATTAACATTTTGTTTAGTGGCTGTTACTTCACTATTCATCATATTAATAATTTCTAATTTTTTCCCTTGTTGAAGTGACTTTGGTGTAGTCACTTCATTTAACTTTGCTTCTAAGCTCTTTTGGCTTACAACTTCATGAATTTTGTTAATCATTTGTAGAAATGCTTCTTCAACATTTAAATTTTCCATAGCTGATGTTTCCAAAAAAGATAATCCTTCTACTTGTGCAAGGCTTTGTCCATCTTCAATATTTACTTGTCTTGATGAATTTGATAAATCAGATTTGTTACCAACAAGAACAATTACCATGTCTGAATTTCCATATTCCCTAAGTTCATGTAGCCATTTTCTTAAATTTTCAAATGTTGTCCTTCTTGTTATGTCGTAAACAAGTAAAGCACCAAGCGCTCCGCGATAATAGGAACTTGTAATTGCTCTAAACCTAAATATTTGAAAAACAATATGTAATATGATTCAATCGTATTTTATAATCAAAACACTTTGCACTACTATATAATTGTAATATTCCTAGAGAATAGAATCATATATTTTAAATTCAAACACATAACCACACCAAGGAATACATTCATCTAGCAAAGTAAATATAGCATCTACGTTCCACATATTAAATTTACCCTACAAAAAAATTAACATCCATCTACAAGTTTTGGTTCGAGTACACTACATAAGAAATTGATATTTAGCTACGACTAATTAGTTTAATTACCGTTAAATATATATAATTTTTTGATATAATTAGTACTCTTCGAATGTTCTTAAAAGTTATGGCGATATTGAATTTAATGATAGTATATATTTATTACTAGTGATGATAGAAACTTAACTTTTTTTTATCAATGTGCATATTTATAACCATTAAAAACTGCGATCCAATATTCATCAAAACTACATTTTTAAACATTGAAAATTTGAGATAACATTTTTTTTTTTTTTGGGTACTTTTAATAGTCTAATGGTTCTAGATTCCACCATGAACTTAAAATATTAAAAGAATAATAATGTAGAATATTGACGACATCGTATTTCCACTATATTGAAATTTAAAGCAATTATTTGTATTGGTGTAATGGATAGCGGACACGACAAAAGAAAAACCAAAAAAGTGAACGTAAATCGATTTAATTAAATTTTAAATGTATGTTTTTTAGTCAAATTTATCATTTATGTCAAGTGAGCTGGTATCTTAACTTTAATAGACTTTTTTAGATGTTTTTTTCTTTTTTCTTTTTTTAAAAAAACAATAGACTTTTTAGAGGCGTGTAGATAAGGTTCATAGATCAATATGGCCGGTTTGGACTGATGTTGAAATTAATTTTAACTTTCTTGTAATTTTCACAATCTTTTGTCTCAATCTTCTCTTTGCATGTTTTACAATAAGGTTATATTATTCATCCATAAATATTTTTTTAATACTTCTTTAAAAAAATAAAGGTTTCGAGATATTATCATAGTAATAACACAATTGGATACCATTATAACATGACATCACATGAAAAAATAATCATTTCAAATGAAAACTTGATTATTACGAATTATGGTGATTTATTATTATAAAATATGATTGTTATGGAGAGTTTATATGTTTTGATGGTAAATTGAACGCTTGATCAAAAAACTTAAACTAATTTAATAACTATGATCATAACATAAACACATATAAAGATCAGTCTCAAAAAATGTTCCAATTAAGAATTCATTTTATATCGTAGTGACATGTGAATTCATTGAATGCACTATTCGTTGAATGAGTGACATTTTCAACATAATTTTTTTCAATAGTAAAGACTTGAACTCGAGACTTCTGATTAAGGACGTAGAGATCTTAACTATGTTAATTAAATGATGAAAGATGATTGTCGAAAAGAGTCGGAAAAAAAAAGGGAAAAAGTTGGGTACCTTTCTTGTCCAGCAGTGTCCCATATTTGAGCCTTGATGAGTTTATCACCAACTCTAATATTTTTATAAGCAAATTCCACACCTATAGTTGGCTTAGAATCAAACTGAAATTGATCTCTAGCAAATCTTGATAAAAGATTTGATTTTCCCACAGCTGAATCTCCAACAAGAACTGATTTGAATAAATAATCACACTCTTCATCAAATGAATCATCCATACTCATCCAACAATTACTTAGTAAATTAATTAGTAGTATATAGGAACACTAAAAATATTTATATAAAATACAAAAGACCAAACAAGAAATAAAGAGGAAAATTGTTGTTGAAGAATAAGAAGAAGGCAGGTAATGAGTTCAAGTCATAATCACACATACATAAATGTGAAACCAAAGCCATGAGGACTCCTTTGAAATGGCTAAGGGGAAAGAAAGAAAAAAAAAAAAAGGCAATGAGTGTATACCATGTGATACCCTTTTGATAATGACATTATTGAGGTTCTTTCTTTATTAATTATGTTCTTCTAAGCCTATTAATTATTTTTCATTATCCAATTATATTTTTCTCAAGCAAAGATTTAGAAAGATCTCATTATAATTGGAGAGTTGTTTGGCGTGAGGTATAAGGTATAATAATTTCAAGATAAAATGTAGAACTATTTTATCCTACGTTGGATCGGAGGTATTAGATAATCATCTATATCATAATGATAAGTTAAGTTATCTCATATACATATATAACTTATTTGAGGACAATATGTTCCGTCATAATTAATCCTTAAATAACTTATTATCAACCAAACGATTCATGAAATTTAATTTCTATACACTTGTGAGATTGCGTAACACACTATCTTTTTCAAATTTTATTCTAGATATATTATTGTTATTATTAAACATTTATTTATACATTATTAGATCACCTCGAAGGTAGTTGCATAACTATTTTTAAAAAGTTGATCAATTTAAAAACTTTTTTTTTCTTCGTCCGATGAATGATATCTGTTTTAAAACTCGTAATTAAAATTTAAATTTGTGTTCACATAAAAACTCCAAAAAGAATTGCTCATTAAAGAGAAGCTTACCTGCTATACTGCTCATTAAAGGAAAACTAATTTGCTATAATAAGTTAAAATATAGTTTGAGTTAGAGTGTAAAAACTTCTTACTCTATTAATTATATAAGTACTTATAGTTATTAGGTGACATCCACTTAATTTGTAGTGGTAACCAGAATGTTGGCTACTAATTTAATTTTCCAGTGACCAAATAAATTGATCCATATGTAATGCCCTTCATATTATTTTTTTTCCCCTAATTTTAAAATATGGAATAATTGTTTGTTCCCATGCTTCATGATTGAGGGTTCCTCACCCAACTGTCAAAATAGCAATAAGACATGTGGGGCTAAAAATTAGTTAAGTGATTATCCTCATATATAGTTAGAGGCATCTTAAGAATAAAGTAATAAAATGAATAATCATTCCTAATCCTTTTTATTTTAGAAAATTAAAAAGATTTTGACCTAATTGTTGGTAATTATGAAATTGAAATACTCCGACATTCAACCATAATATCAATGTGTTTGGTATCAAATCAAGTCACTAGAGGAAACGATTATCTATATTCTAAGAAACAAAACAGAAAAAAAAAAAGTAAGATGTAAGATTCGTTTTTTCTTATGGACTAACTAAGATATAGTTCACTCATATCAAATATTTGCATATAATATAAAGTATAAAAATTTATAGTTGAGGTGGACCAAAAAAAAATAGTCACTGTATTCATGTGACCAACACAATCATTTTCTAAATTTTGTTTCTACCTCAAAATTAACCTATTTTTGACCATCGACGACTTATAGAAGAAATGGCGTTACAAAAAATGGAAAAATTGCAAAGTTAAGTCACGGATGAGGGTCATGTACAAAGTTGAGGTAGACTAAAAGCTACAAATAGAAATATGGAAAAATGATTGTAGATTTTTTGTTTAGAAGTAAAAAAAGGAAAGATATTGGATCATTGATAAAGATGGATTTGGGCTCCTAAAGCCCATTAAAGATAGACTAGATCCATACCACTCGGCCCATCACTGAGAAGTAGAATTATTTCGAGAAATTTTTAGAGATGACTAACTTAGCTGATAACGCGATTGAAACGCACATAGTTATCTAGAAAGTGAAGTCAATTAAGCATCAGCTTCCGCCTTAGAGTTTGCCCGTCTATTACACATGCCGCCTTCAATTGGCATTGTCCTTATACATTTTTCGTGAGATACGCAGATAATATTTAAAAAAATAATTGTACGCTCAAACAAATATTTTACACTTTATTTTGATTTATATCTCAATATTTTGAATCTGAATTGATATAATCTGCGCACAGATACGATGGCAAAATGTGAACTCGCTCACCTAAATCCCTCTTCTGGGCCCAAACAATATTTGATGTATCGTAATTCATATTCTTTTATTTTACTTAATTTGACCAGTCCACTAGTACTTTTAATTTTAATTGACACCCTCTTAAGTGTCTTAATTATCACACCTACTAATATGTCATTACTTGTTGGGCTTTCTCTTTCTATATTAAATAAGGTGCATGTTACACTTAATTAAGACGAATTTTAATCACAATTGGGAGAGAAACGTAAAGGGATTTATAAGCCATAATATAAGTTTATAACTTCTTATATGGGTGCTTTCGAACTTTGATGATAGTGTAGTCCAAAAAAATAAAATTATGACGTATGCACTTCGATAGTATGATAATTGTGTAAACCTCAACGGGGAGATTGAATGTGAGGCTTCTTTGTCTAAAACAAATAATACAATGTCATGAGTTAAGTCATAATAAATATGATATGAAAACTCCCTCATTGTTCGAACTTTAATAAGAACGCTGAATTCCTAAGAATATAAGAGAGAGTATTGTTCCTTCGTTATACTTCCTCCATCTCATTTTATATGTCATATTTTTACTTAGCACTTGCATTAAGAAATTTTGTAATTTTATCTTTCTACTCTTATTTAATTTTTTTGAAACTCGATTTTTTAATCAATGGATATGAATTAATTCATTCTAATTAATTAATTTAACCAATGAGCATAAATTATTTACCTAACTTTGTCAAATATATTTTTTAAAGCTAATAATTTATTAGGATAAAAAAGAAAACATATGTAATTTATGCATTGTTTTTATAAAATGACAAATATTATGGACAACTATTTATAGAAAAAAACAAAGGAGATAGATAGAAAAAGAATTGAATGTGAGAAATCAAAATAGTGCCAATCTCTATTATTTAGTTATTGCTTACTGGTTTGTTTGCTCTATTTATTATTTTGCTATTTTATAAGACATTATTTACTTTTTTTATCTTTGTTTTATCATGTCGAAATATATTTTCTCCTTAGACTAAAAAATGGCAAAGCTATTTGACTCTTCACAGGAAACGAAGAAACGAATGTCAGAAAAATAAACTAAAATTTCATATCACATTAAATTCAGAATCCACATTTACTGTTAACGGCGTTACCCTAACAAATTCATCTTAAAGTTTATCCTTACGGTTTCTCCGTCTATCATCAGTTAGAGGTAGAAACTATATCCTATAAAGGGGACGCACTATAATCCCGTGCACCTCACCTTTATCAGCCGCTAAAAAGGGATAGTAAAACAAAGACTAGAAAGAGCCTACTTGCTGGTAGTCATCATCTTCTTAAACTCTTCAAAGCTAACGTAACCGTCGCCGTCGGAATCAACGGAGTTGATCATTTTGGTACAGTCCTGAACGGAGCAGTTTTCGCCTAAACGAGTCAGGATCTGATGAAGCTCAGCGGCGGAGATCAATCCGTTACTGTCCTGATCGTACAGATCAAACGCTTCACGAAGCTCCCTAACGCCACCGTCACCGATGCTGTTAATGTCGCCTTTACAGAACTCAGCAAATTCCTGAAGGCTAATGAAACCGTCTCTGTCAGAATCAATTTCATTCATCATACGAGAGACTTCTTCAGGAGATGTACCAGATCCAAGAGCACTGATGACGCCGGAGAGCTCTTCGCCGGATATCATGCCGTCGCCGTTCGTGTCGAACCGTTGAAACACTTTCTGCACCTCATCCATGTTCTGAAGGTAAAGAGAAGGCTTGGAAACGGAGTTATTGTTGACATTGTCGGTAGCAGCCATTGTCGTTGATCTGGAAGTAATAGTATGAGAAAGAGTAAAACTTGAAATGGTGGTTTTAATGGCGGAAATATGTGTAATATATATAGGAGGGAAAAGTTTAGAAGCGTAAGAAGGAACCCCACGAGAAAGGAAAGGTTTCGGCCGCCGTGTAGGGGATTAACATTTTATAATTTATTTATTTTTAGCATAACAGAATTAAAAAAAATATATACTGTATTTTTTTTATAATTTTTTTTAAAATATTAAATTAATATAATTTAATTTAATTTTAAAATTAATTAAAAATTATAATATAATAAATAAAAATAGACCAAATGAATATTTTTTAACTTTTTAGGTTGTTCATAAAGAATATGATTCCTTTATATTCGACATATTTAATTTCAAATAAATATTTTTTAAATGAAACATTCCCATGGTAAGTTAATGTTAAACATTTTCTTTTGTATCTTGGATTATCTTTTTTCTTTTTTTTTTTTTAAAGATAGGTGGTGCCCAAGGAATATTTGTCAAGTCCGTCACTAGCGAAAATTTCAATCGATTGTAGTATTTAGGAAATATATTTTATTTTTTAAAAAAATTATAATTTCTATTTATACATTTTAAAAACTATTAAAATCAATTAATAGTTTATATTATTAATCAATTGAATATTCGCTGTAATAAATAACAAGTAGTTTTCATGACACCAAAGCAATGTGGTGCAATAAGTATCATTTCATACATCAGACAAAATAAATAACTTTGTTATCCTGAGCCGATTGTTCATCATTTCCGTCAACCACCAGATCATGACTTTCATATTCACTAACTGTTTAATTACTACCTTGGTGTTTACATAAAAAAAATTATGTAATACAACACAAATAACTATTATAGAGTGTTTTTATAAAAGATTTTGGTGTAAAATTTCAATTTTCAAAAGATCTCAGATAATTAGATTTGACACAAATATTAAAAAAATTATTATTTGAAAATTTGAGATAAAAAATATTTGGATAAATTGTATGAATAATTATTAATCAAATATTATTTGAGAAATCTATGACGTAACGGATGACTTTCGACTATGGTTAATAAAACAACACAACATTATTAGACCAAAAATTAAAGAGAATAGAATATTTTTTAGTTTCAAGATTTGATAACTGTTAGCCATAAATAGATATTTAAGGATGATAAAGGCATTTTTGGGGAAGTAGTAGGAAATTTCAATAGGATAGAGAAAGAAAGGAGGGACCACATGAGATTTTAGGCGTGTGTAAGACGTGTTGGGTCCTAATCT